TGTTCATGAAATATTTTTGAAGATTAAAAATTATCGTCTGACAGTGAAGATGTTTATATTTTTGTAGTAGATGGTAATATTACTTTATGTTCAACGACGGAAGACTTTGAAAGTATGGGAACTTTAAATGGTATTCCTTCTCACGAGTGTTCTATTGAAACTACTATTGAAGGAAAACCCTGGTTAAAACCTGGTGCAGATAATACTGATTATTGTAGTTACGGGTTTAATGAAAGTAGATGGTTAGCATACTATGAATGTCAAAGGAAAATGCATTGCAATGAATCATTAGTTGGAATGGCAAATGGAGATTCTTACAACAAATTAAGACTTAATTTGGTAAGAGATGAAGAATATTATGCCTCCCGTGTTAAAAAAAAACTAGAAGATCGAGCATATGAACAAGAACGTGAAGGTCGTAATCGGTACCGTGAAAGAGATCGTGATGTGGGGAACGTGAACGAAAACGTGATAGCGACAGGGAACGTAGTAGACACAGAGAGAGTGATGTTGAAAGTCCAGAAACAAGCTATAAAGAAGAAAGGGAATATAAACACAAGTCTCGTCGTCATCGTTCTAAAAGTTGTAGTCATGAAAAACATTGTTGCTAAAATAAAAAAAAATAAGTCTGAATTTTTTTTTATTTTTCTGATGTAAATTTATGCAATATTTCCATATTCTATTAATATTATTTTCACATAATTTCCTTAAGTTGTTAATGGTAATTAAAGGGTCATTGCAACTGATTTTGTGTTGAACTAGTGTTTACCTAAAGTATATATTTCAATAAAATTAATCATCGAAAATTAATGATTGTTGTTAGTACTATTAGTAAATATACGATTGTTATACAGTTAAAGCACTGTTTATTTTTTATCAGTTTTCGTTTTTTTTTTTTTTTGGTAAGTACCTAGCAATGTGACACGTAGATCGTAAACTCGCGGTTTGTGTTTTCTTACGTTCTACCGCGCGTCATACGAGAGTGTTTCTGATTTGATTATATATAGTATTATAAGTATTATGAAAGAAGATAGACGAATACGTCACAAAGTAGGATTAGGTTAATTTAGGTTAGGGTCCAAAGGATCTTAAATTATAAAAAATACATCAGTATTGTAAACGCTGTTTCCGTAATCAAACGTGATCGATTGTTTCAAGTATAGTTTTTTGTTCTTTTTCCCCAACACTTATTCTGCAATCATTGTTTATTCTAATGTTCTGCGCAGATGATACGCTGGAGAAGAAAAAGTCCTAGATACTCCACCGAGTCGCCACTGCAACAGCACTGGACAATATTAAGGTCATGACATCGTCTACGACAGCGTTTATTTCAACGTGTGAACGAGAGGGGGGTATTACTCCCCCTCGTCCCACAAAAATTATATTTATTTATCGGTCATTTGCTCCAATGGCATACCACACAACATACCCCCTCGAAAACGTACGTTACCTTCCTCCTCCCCGAGATAGAAGGTCTGAAACAAACACCGGTCCACGAAACTGGTATACAACCTGCACGATAATAGTATCGTTTAAATAAAATGTGTACAATGCAACGCGCGTGTACATTTAGATGTGCCGCGCCGAACGCGCTGCGGTGCGTTGACCGTCTCGCGGTGCGCACGTGTACACGTTAGACGTGCAGTGGGAACTGCTTTGCGAGAGGAGAGGAGAAAAAAATACGATCAAGGGGTCCTGCAACCGCGTCGGGTCGAACGCGTTTAACGAGCTATGGCGGCGGTTCCGAGATCCGAACCAATCTGTCGATCTTCACGACCCCGGTGACAATATTATAGATCATACTACGGTCATTGTTATCCGAGTATACACGCACGCACGATCGCTCGTCGCGGTGCCATCCCATTAGTTGAAAACCGAGCAACGGTACTCCGGTGTAAGTGCACTACGTCAGGGAGGGATTATAAGTGTTTACGTATACGATTTTATGTATAATAAATTATCGAAAGACCGTTTACACAAAAACGGGTGTGTACGGTTAAAACATCGAAACTCGAAATGTATGTATAAAAGATCGATAACTTTCAGCGGTCAGTCATCAGAACCAGTGGCGTTGGAAGACTTTCTAGCGCCCCTGGCAAGCTTAGAAAAAAAACACTTTTTAACCAATTTAAATTTGATATTTTTGTTTAAGGATACAATTTATATTTAAAAGTTATTATTACAGTGTTAATTTTAAACTTTGAAAATTTGCTTTTCTCGCTTTATGACTTTATTCCTTCATGTAAAATTTTTTATTTAAATGCCCTTGTGCTATTTTCATAATTTCATCATTGAATTCACATTCTGTATAAATAAACAGCATCTACGTATTTCAAAAAGTGTAATGGAAGAATTTCGATTTGATTGTAGGATAAAAATACGAATTTTGAACAATTCTTTGCCCCTTTGCAATTCACGCCCCTGGCATAGGCACAGTTCACCGTACTCTATGCCGTACTGCTACCCCACTGATCAGAACGGTCCGTCCAGAACCGTGTACCTCGAAAAGACGCGTCGCACACATTATGACTGTATGTTTATGCAGTTGTGTCGATACGCGATGCAATTTTCACCAGCGCAAAGATACAATTATTGTATATGTGCGAAACAAACGCGTACATTTTAAATTATTGTTATTATTATTCTATAGATTTCCCGTCTTTCGACGAAATCCCGTGTCCTCGACTGTATGATATAAACATACATTAACCCTAGCACACATCAGACGTCCGACCCCGAGTACAACAGGAATATGGTACGCAGTACGGGTGCACGCAAATGTGTTATTACGATAAAATAAAAACGCGCACTGGCGACCGTATAATTACGCACGTATGCAGGGTAATACGATATGTCTGTACACATGTAATGCGGCAGACGGCCGTGTTGTGATCGGTCCGATGCTGCGGCTGGTTATAATTAGACATATCGTGCACGTAATGTACTCGAACGAAACCGTACATTATAAAAGACGATGTTTCCAAAGAATTCAAATCATGGTCGGGCGAGTGCCGTACGCGTAAATTTCAAGGTTTGAGGTTTAAGGATTCGATGTAAATAGATTATTTTTATTATACTTTATAGTGGATTCTGCTATTTGAGCAAAATAGTGAACGTTTTGACGTTTATATTTCAAAATAAAATATACTGATTTCCCCCCCTCCCCTGAAAAATATTGCAAAAACGCCACTGGCAGATCGGCTTTGTGAGTGACAGAAACTGCAACTGCACGAGCAACGCAAGGGGAACATGCGACGGTGCAGCACACAATGGAAAACGCTTAACCGTTGTATGATATTATGTACCACGCAGGACGCTGTGTACTTATCGTCCCGTACGTTCGGCAGCAGGATCCCCTACACACCAAGAGCCATTGTGATGCGACCCAAACGTCTGTAAACGGGTAGGAGGGATGTAAACCGTCGGTGACGTGAGAATATAATACACATATTATACAATATCAAAATCGACATGATTTTTTTTTCAAACCAGGCGAAATAACATTGACCGTAATTTATATTGTAATTGTAACTGTTTAAACAATACTATTTTTGCTTACCATTATTTATTTTTGTAGATCGATTATAATTAATAATCATTATTTTTCCTGTAGCACATGCCACACGTACAACTGTCGTGTATTCCTACCTGCACTGCAATGAAATCTATGAAACAGAATCATGATTAACAAATAATCAAGGCTGGACAATAACGAGTTTAAAAGTTAAATTTAAGTTACTTTTAACTAAGTTACTTAAGGAATCTTTTTTTTTTTTTTTAATTAAGGTAAATTAAACTTAGCGACTGAATTTATTTTTTAGTTCGGTTAAACTATTTTTTTTTTTTACCATTAATTCCATAGATTTAAAATAACATTTTGAGTGAGAAAAATAATAATTGTTATCTAAAATATCAAATATTATCCATTATGATATAATAGGTATTATCTAGGTATTTGAAATAATATGTTCTAAATTAATAATTATAGACCGTCGAACTGTTTTACACGATTCTTGGATTTTAATAAGTATCAAAATAATGTACATAAAGGTAATATATGGATAATATATGTATTATGAGCGAATTCGGTAAAAGGAGCTGACGACTTATTAGTGCAAAAAAGAACTTAAGAATTAATTTGGAAGCAAGTAGAGTGGAAGCATCTATACGTGTATCAATTAATTAACGCAAAAATAACAAGTTATTCTCCGTTTTCCTATTTAACAAAGAGGTAAGACCATTGAGCTTATGCTTGACTGGCTAGTAGTCGTGTGGACCTAGGTGGTCATTAATATTCAGTACAATATATGCAGAATTCAAAAATCATCTTTGAATACGTTTTTTAAGTGAAAAAGTAATTGGTAATAAGGAATCCCAGAGTACTAAACCATATTCCTAAAAATATCTGTAAAGGAAACAGTGATTAGATGAAATACATACATTTTTTTTCCACAAGGAAATCGTTCATATGATGAATAAAATAGACGTCCAGGTGTATGCGTATACGTATACTTACATAATGTATAGTACATCCAAAGAGAGGGAGCTAAAGCCCCTTAACCCTTCTTGAATCCATTCCTGGTAATAGTAGTATTGGGTATCTGGGTCTGTCATGTTACCTATTTTCAACGCATGTTATATTGCGATGACAGTCAAGTTTATTATAGTATTACATATACGAGTAAGTATTTATTGTTTGAATAATATATAATTTTGTTTTTGTTCACCGTCTAGCTTGCTCATTGATAAAAAATAATGAATCATTAATTAGTATTATTTAATTAATATAGAAAATTGCTAAATTTATAATTAAATGATAAAACTGAAACATCTTGTGTCAGATAGGGGGTTTGGAGGGCTTTGCCCCTCGCGTATCACCTTGTTGGGAATAATTTTAGTGCTCACAAGTTTTAAACTGAATTCACACCTATAATCGCTTCAAAGACGCATACTTAATTATCATACAAAGACCACAGTGTTCTTTGGTATATCACCTTCTCTACCTCTTTCATCTTTAACAATGATGGATTTAAAGTCACACGCAAGACAGGCAAATTATTGTCTAATAGTGACTGTATTATTTCTCCAAGTCGTGTTTTTTTGATAATCCTATCGTTCAAATTACATCAGCTACCTTCACTGTAATATTATGTTGTGTACAGTTATTTTTTATGATGATAATTAAAAAAAACCAAGTAGTCGGCAAAAATTAATTTACTTTTACCGGCGTTTCTTGCGCAAATCCTTTTTCGTGCGTATTGATGACTGTTTTTGTTTTTTTTCTCCAAGTCGTGTGTCTTATCATCTTATTGCTCAGATTACATCAACCATTTATTATAATATCACGCTGCCAACAGTTAATTTATCATGTTGAAATGAAATAAAACCAAAGAGACGGCAATAATGAAATTACCTGTTGCGGTGTCGCGCAAATCCGTCTTCGTAAGTATTCATACACGTAAAACTTAACCTGATTTCCCACATATGGTCTGGTAGTCCGCACCACACTATAAATTATTCTCGTACTGCATTTATAAACCGGCTACCTTTAAAATCATATATATATGTGTATATACTTTAATATTAATAAAATATTCAACATACGTACCTATATCTAGTATATACGTATTTATAAATGCGCTGTGGCCATGGTCGATGCAGGACACTGTGCATACCATACGTTTACTTAATTAATTATATGTATATACCGTTCACCAGGTTAGTATCACCAGTGTATTATTACGTTATAGTGTCGCGTAAACGATTTTCGCGATCGAATTTCGCGCAGAGCCTAAACAAAGTTCTATCATACGATCCGCTTTTTGTTTTGTATTTTTGAAATGAAAAACGTGCTCAATTGATAAACGAAACTGTACACTACAATTGTACCGTAATTATTCGTTTATCATTTCCGCGGTAAATTGCACGATCTTATATGAAATCGAACACGCGTGCAAACGATGATGACGAGTGTCGGCGTGAAGTCTCGAATCGTCAGCGTTTCTGGGAACATAATATTATTAGCATTATGTACGGCATTATGTGGGAATATATATTATACTGTTATGTTAGCTGGTTATGAATCGGATGAGGAATACAAAAGAGGAAAACAAAAAAAAAAAAAACCCCCGTAAGCGTTTGTTGTTGTTCGTCTTTCGAGTCGTAAGGTCGATCAGAGACCAACGAGAAACGGACAAAAGATAACGAAAAAATAAAAAAATAATAAAATATTTCTTATAAAAGTAAACGTATGCGTGTAACATAATAGGCGTTAGGATCGTATGTGCACGTCTGATATATTTTATTACAGCGCTACCGTTGTCTTATATGTAATTTTGCGCTGCCGCAGCACACGCGCACTTGTATTATCATTCGTTCGGAACAGCAACGCGACCAGACGACGGAGAGAGAAGAGGAAAAAGAAAACGAATCATAAATCTTGTAAATGAATAGATTTGCCGCCTCGAGTTCGAGGGAGAGAGAGAGAGAGAGAGAGAGAGAGAGAGAGAGAGAAAATAACATTCTTTTGAAAACAAAGCGACCGCCGAGCACAACTTTTTTTCTCCTCGTAAAAATGTATTTGTTTCCAACTCATCTCGGGCACGGCATGATTATCTTACATTGAACCACCGTGTTTGTTCACCGTCTGTATGGCTTATTAATCAATAATAATCGGCTGACGAACAACGTCACTCGTATCATAGAAGGTAGGTATGTGGTAACGTTCACGTGGAGCTGACAAGAAATGCGGTTCTGGCAATTCAAGTGCTAGACCAAAACAACATGAGCTTACAACGATGTGTATTTATCATATATGATGGGCCTTAAACATTGTGTCTCAAACAAGTTAATGTCCTATTCATGAACTTGAGCAGTTTATATAATAGACAATGCATCGAGATGAATACGAATACAAATAATGCATTTCGTTTTTTTTTTTATTTCTATTCCGTTTCACATGATCGAAGTTGAAGGCGGAAAAAATGATCCCCCCCCCCCGTGCAAGTCACGACCAGATAAAATAAAGTACATAAATAATAATAATAAACGCAATAAATATATATTATAATAAAGTAAATAATAAAAGCCAATAAATTTACTTTCGTTTGTTTGCACAATTCAATGTAAACGTTTTCCCAAAATGACGCAACGTAATCGAAGCAATTATTACTATATCATATACACTGAACGAATGTTCGTGAAAGTTTTCGGAGGACTCGTATAATGTTCTAAGTTTGTATTCGCGGTGTTCGACGCCCGGAAACGCACATTTTGATGTTGTGTTTATGATCGCATGCATGCTAGGTTACGGATTCGTCGATGAAGTCCGATAATTCGCAAATCCAAGGTCATGGTATGTATGCAAATAGTAATTGAACCAACAATAACCGTTGCTACTACTTCAAAGTCATTTACATCATTATACAAGCAGTAGAGGCAGTTACAGCTCCAAGGGGGGGGGGCACTGGGGTCATTTCCCCCCAGGCTTTTCAAAAATTAAATTTTTTTAATACATTTTTGTTCTTGTAAACTGTAAAATCCCGATTATTTAATTAGATACCTACCTAACAATTTTATTATGCCTAAAAAACCATATTATGACATTAATATTAGGTGTATACCATAATATAGGAACGTAGTTGGACTCTGTTTCTCAGTACTAATTTGGAGAAACAACTATTATCAGTTAATACTCAAAATGTCCCCCCCTGGTGATTCCCTGAAGCCCTAATTAGAGGAATAATGTTTGACGTCTGTTTACCATAAATGGATAAAAATGAACTTCGATACGTTTGTGATAGTTTTAAAATTTGGAAATTACGATTATAAAAGTGTGTACGAATTTATCAACAATTGTTGTTGGTACAAATATTTTCACGAATTTCGATAGGTTATTGGCGCTAACTGCCCCATTATTGTGATGCATCTATGGCCAATACTCCGTGAAATGCACGAGGCAGTGGCCGGCGAAAACAATAAATACTCGTGATAACGCGATGTAAAGTTGATTACGTCCACTCGAGATAATCGGCAAAGACTTTAACGCCTTTATATAAAGTCACGCTCCCTGTCTACTTAGTTGTTACTGGGTTAGGGGTTCCGATGCCTCTTGCTGGTGATTAAACAGCAATCGATGAAAACTCGACTATATTGATATTGAAATGCATAATATACCGTTAATACTGAATTATGATTAAAATATTAAAACCGATTCTGCTCTTCAGTTTCACATTTTGATATATCAGACAGTATTGAATATCATCCTCGTCGATTATTAAAAGTTTAAAATTTAAATATTAAAAAAAAAAAAAACATTTTAATTAGATTTCTTAATCGCTGTACAGCTGATTTTGTGATCATATAATTAATTTTGTTTTTGATTTCTAATTTCATTAATTCACAATAAGATATATAGATCAATGCTCAAAAACAATTTAGTCTATAAAAGTTATGCATAATTTTAAATTTAAACGAAATAAAAATAAACATTAGTCTTACTTCAACTTGTTTGAAAAAAAATTGTCTGAATAAAATCTCTTTTGGGGTTTTTGGAAAAAAATTAAGTAGACATTTCTGTAAAGAACAGCCTAAAAGAGGTTATAATATATTTCATTTTTGTACTGAGGAGGCTTAAAGAAATCATTTCGTGGTAGAACCGTCTATAAAGCATTCCACTCTGGCAATGGGTTGTGTATTTCTCCAGATGTTACTTTATAATGGCAGAATACGATCCTTGCGGGTCGCTAAAATCCTATAATTACGCCTCCAGACGGTGACGACTACGGTTGGTTTTCGGGTCGTTAAAAGCTAGTAGTGACTACCAGATTTCATCCTATATCCCCGAGAGCTCGGTAGACGATTACGCGGACCATATGACGCGCATTCTTAGCGCAAAGACAGAACCGTGTACGTACACTCAACCGCACGTGGATCTCGAATATCGCAAATTGTATTTGTATCAACGCGATAATCTAACAACGACCGCAGCTGCAATGACCGAACGGATGTACAAATTGATGTCAATATCGTTATTTGATAACATTTTCATTGAAATCCAACGTTCGTACGGCACAACGGTCGATGACGTAATTGTGAACGGATTTCGGCGAACTATTCGTACAATAACGCATGGGATTTTACGATGTTGCACCACATTGCAGTCATCGTATTTTACGTGTTCGGTACACGCATGGCTGAAGTTCACCACACGCGTCATAACTACTCGTGTATTACGTCCACTACGTAGTGCAAAACGTAGACTATAAAATGCAATCAAATATGTTAATAGGTAAAAATATAACGCAAAATGCATCGTTAAATAAAAATATAGAGGTTTTATGATTCGTCGGGGTTTTTACAAAACACGCACTAAATTTGTAAATTCGTTTACAAAAAAAATCTTGAAAATAAACAAAAAATAGTCCTAGAACTGTATGATCAGTTATTGTTGTAATGATTTAATAGAAACTTATCATTTACGAGTGTTGCAATAATATGACAGTGACGAATATCACATAATGACCCATGACAACTAAACAAATGTTGTGTTCGATCAGATCACCAAAGTCCGTAATCGATATAATATGTCAAATTATTCTAAATTCATAGAAGCATGAACGTATTAGTTTTAGCAAAACGTGTGGTTTTTTTATGTCCGTCTACGTGATTTATGATAATTTTTACTTCAATAGGAATTAAACTTTGTTTTGCCATTTTTTCACAGATCGAAAACATTTGAAACCAAAAAACCCACATATTCATGGTTTGTGTGACTAATTTGATTATTTGAAGATAAAACGCAATATGTTCATAATAGTTTAATTAAATATTGATGAACAAAATTATATTCCTCTGTGGCTGTGTAATATAAAATATGATTTATATTTTATAAAAAAAATATGGTTAAAAATTAAGAAAGTCAATTTGAGGATGGTTTTAACCCCCAAAACTATCCCTAGACAGGCCCCTGATAAGGTTTATCACAAGTTGTTTTCATTAGAGTTAATAAAAAAAATTGTCCAGAAAGTTGATATGATTTTATAAGCGTTAGAAAATTAGATACTCGTACTTTAAACGTTATTCTTAAATGTGATTTTGTTTTTATACAAGTATATTGATCAACTTTATTACAAAATTACCAGGTACTTTTACTATTATTATGATGTGAAATATATTTAGACAGATGCACTCGTTCTCCTTTAAATCACTGAATAATTTTTTTTTTATTTAATTTTATAAAAAAAACGAGCTAGATTATACGTGTACGTAGGTGTACTGAAACTTGAACGTTTACCACCCGCCCGGTCGGAGGGTCGCATTCGTCGTGTTGTATATTACCACGGTCCCCGTTCTCCGTGACGTTTATAACTAATGAAGGTTTGACATTTTTTCGACCACCAAGAGTTCGGCGAGAGGGTTTTGTCCGATGACAGACCCGATATGGGTTTCCGTTTGTTGCGTCGGCGATCATCTTAACGTAACCTAACCGAGTAGCCCGCGATTTTGCCCACCCATCGCGGGCCAATCGCAAACGAT